CTGATCTCTCCCTCTCTTGCACTGTCAGGAGCTACGCACATACCTATTAGCTACCTTTCTTTGTGTGGTATGAGATGGTGAAAGTTATAAAAAGTTATAAAAATTGGATATGTGAACAGGCTATTCACATAAACACACTGGAATGACTTCTTAAACCTTGATGCCAGCTATGTGCTTCCCTCTCTGCATGAAGTCAAATCTATCACTGACAGCCTCAGCCCCAGCTTAGCTGCAACACAGGGGCGAGGGCATGGTCACAAGAAAGTTGGCAAATGTAGATAGAGAAATAAAGTAAGAGGATAGGAACAATTGCATGAAAATGAAGTGTGTTTCCCAACACACAAAGAAATAGGCTCTTGTTGGGAACTGGATCATAAGCTTGGCTTTTTCATACACTACAATGATTATTCTTCATGTGACATTGCCCTCTGAGGTGACACTGAAGTCTGCTGGTTGGGATCCTTGACCTGCACACTGTGAAGAATCAGGGCAATGAGCAAATCCAGATTGCTTTGGTCTGTAAAGGAGGTTGAAGGCAAACAAGGGATTTAACTGGATTCAGATGGTCAGCCTTATTTGCAGAAGGAAAAGCCTTGCTTCCTTCTGATGATGCACACACAGTACTCAGTGAGTTAATATTTAAGTAAACAAACTAGGTGCTGCTCTGGAGTCTCTGGATGTGAACCAGCAACAGCAGTGTTAAGCAATTTCAAAGTAGAGGGAATGCGATTTTCACACTTACTCGTTTTTAATTTAGGTCCATTTGAAATCCAAGCAACCCTCTATTACTGATTTGTTATGGCAATATTAATTAATGATTTTGCTCTACAGCACTAAGAATGTTGTTTAGACTGAGTGAGATAGATTAGAAGGAGTACAAGATTAGAAAAACAATCTGTAAACTGGTCAGATGCAGTTGGGGGTCACCTTGATTTCCTGAAATGAGCACATTGCACTCAGAAAGTCTGGAAATGTACGAACAGATTTCTACCAGTGCAGACTCATTAAGGCTGGCTGGGTCAGCACTTCTCATTGCTGTCTCCTATTTTGGATTACAAGAATATTAGCTTCCAAGGCAAGGAAAACAATTGTCAGACTGCCATGAAGATTGATAGTCAAAGAAATTGGATATTAGTTCATAGACATTATGAGTTTATACTAAATATGCCACGAAACAAGTGGTAATATTCAGTGACACAGAGAAGGCACACAATGATGTGTTGTGATTTCCATTCTCTCGACTCACTTTTATCTCTGCTGTTTTCCATTAGGCTAGTAGATATCCAGCTTCCTTTCTTCGATCTTCTGATAAGCACGGCATGGCCACCCACCATCAGTAGCAGTTCAGTGGCATGGATAATAGTGGTAGCTTGAAGAAGGCTAGTAGCTGATAGATTGATGGGCAAATCTTGTGACCATTACAGCTGGCCCTTGGGCTATCTCAGCTATCTCTTATTCACTCACACACTCAATAGCTTAGGCCTCGCAGCCATCATTGTACATATGTAAGATCAAAGTGGATCAAAGCACTGTTAAGAGCTGTAAAGATGCCATAATCTGAATTATGTTGTTTCTAAATTATGTGTTTAAATTATGAGATGAAAAAAGATTACTGTTGTAAACTATGATTTGTTTTTGTTACTTTAGGAATATAATTTTGCAGTGTGCAGCAATCACAGAAAAGAAATCGGAGGCATTTTCTTTTAAGAAATACTCAGTGATGTACGATGCTGTAAATGTTTCACAATAGAATTTCAGCATTGACAGGTGAAGGGCAGGAGTGGTCACTGAAGAAGCAAGTTGGGCTGCAACAGCCCTAGGGAATTCAGCTATTCTTGCTTTGCTGTTCTTGCATTTTCTTCATTTGCCTGAAACAGAAGGGATCAGGGTGGATGGATTTTATCTATGTGCCATAGATACAAACCACCATTTCCTGGTGGCTCAGGAAGCCTCCTGCGTAGGCAGCACCTATCACAACAGACTGGATATGGTAGTTCTTTTGACATTTTACACTGAAACTTCTTTTGGTCAGCACAAAAAGTGCCTGTTAGGCGGGGGGCACGCCCAAGGGACAGGCTGAGAAATGACAGGTATCCACTGGATATTTTGATGAGCAAGGATCAAATGTCAGAGGTGGAAGGTCCAGTTTGCATGGACATCTGAACTCTTTTGACACTTGTTCAGGCACTGGGAAAATCTTAAGTTCAGCAGAACTGGATTACCAGTGTTCTGAGATGTCTGGCCTTTCCTGCTTGTAGCAAGGCCAAGCACAGGTCTGCTAGAGCTACTGGTAAGAGTAAGGACTCAGGAACATGTGGGCATGTAAAGGTGTAATCCTGAATTCTATAAAATATTGAAAATATAGATGCAATGGTTAGTTATTATACTTGGTCTGTTTTACTTTTCCTTACTATTGTTGATTTCATCATCTGATAGTCTAAGAAATAAGATGGATTATGAAAAAAAAGAGAAGGTGGTTGGAAAGGACAATAGTTACTTCTTCCTCTGTGAAGAGATTTCAATATATGGCCCTAAGCCATTTGAGTTTTGGGGCACTCTTCTGCACCTAAACAGGCTTGAAACTCAAACTATGCCTACTGAAGACCTACTGAAACTGAAGTAGGTGCATCTTTGAAAAGGTGGCCTGAGATGTGTGCATAAAGGCTTGGCTCACAGAAGTTCATGGAGACAAGAAAGAGCTTGTGGCAGCTTGCTCAGACTGCCGTTCAATGAGAACAACACTCTCATCAATACAGTTACCCCAAAAGTTGACAAAGCAGTGAGATGGGCTGAAGTACTGAGCAAAGAAAGTCGCTTGATGAGATACTTCAAAATACAGTAAAAGCCAGCTTCTGCTTTTAATGCTTAATCTATAGGCCTGCTGAAGTGAGTAGCATGAAAGTTGATTTTGTGTCATGGCTGCTGCATCTATTGGTACAAGTGGTTATTAGTAAGGAAGCAGGCAGAAAGCAGTGTTAGGGCTTATGTCAAGATTACGATGCTGAATTCTGGCATTAAAAGTGTCTGACTAATCTTTTAGTTTAACAATACACAACCACTGAAATACACATACTGGCAGAGAAAGTTCAGTGGCACCTTTTTGCTGACATTTATGCTTCCAGAATAGTGAGAAGATGACGATAAGGAGGGCATAAGTCTACAGAAAGGAGAAAAGGACATAAAAAGGAAAATATACCCTGAAGAATATGTGTGTTGCCTTGTGAGCAATTTGGGATCCAGGTAAGAGGTAGTATTCAGGTAGAAGATGGTTTTAAAACCAAGCAACCAGGGAATAGTTCACAGAGATCATGAACTAAGGTAATGGTACCTGTGGTGCCATCTTAGAACAGGAAAAATCATCATCCTGTGAATGGTAGGTTTCTTAGTTCATGGTATTTAACTGCTGATCCACCTAGCCAAGTTCATTGGGGTCAGCAAAGCAGTAGGATGGGAGAAAGAATTCCTCTTTATATCTGGTTGCTAGGTTTCCATGGGGATAGGCATGTTCTTAAAAACAAACTTTAATTTTTACAAAATCAATTTACGCAAAAAAAATGCATTGGAAAAACTGCATAAATCTTTATTTAAATCCCACTCACTGTTCAGAGGGGTACTGTGAGGAGGTTACTGCCAGGTTAGTCAAGCCTTTTAAAACATGTGCAAAGCACTGTGAAGGTCATTATTTTTATTAAATTAGGATGTTCTCCCATTGGTACCTAGAATTTACTAACATGAATTAGAAGGAAAGAAGAGGGAGGATTATGATATATTTAGAATTTCTTACATTTCCTTTTTGAAAACTTAAGAAAGGAACTTCTGGTTCACCAAACATAATTCCTGGAAACTGCAGGCAGTCATGTCACATAAAGGATTCATTTCCTGATCAAACTCCCTCTTGCTAATGAACATTTTTACTAATGTTAATGAGAATTGCTACTAATAATTTGCATTTACACACTACTTAAGGATCTTAAAGTGTTCTTTCATAAAATATGCCCATTTTTTAGACAGGGATATTGGATTTAAATGACTTGCCTAGGGTCTCACAGCAAGCTAGCAGCAGAATGACTCTTAGAGCTCCTAGTGATTTGCATTAAATCCTGGACATTAACAACTCCCTTCATAAAGGGAGCTTTGTAGTGGTGGATCAACTCCTGGTGCTGGTGGATCAAACCTTTTAGGAGAGTGCAAGCAAACCAAGAAATTAATTGAACCTATGTAATGCTTCTCAGTGTCTGCAAATCCTGGCTTCCTTTGAACCTAGAAAATTGACACAAATCTGAGCATGCAATGCCAAGATAGCCTTCGGCATATGACCAACTATGAAGTTTTGATTCACCAAGTATGTACCTCAGATCTATACTTTCTATATGAACACATCACTAATCTCTACAATTGTTCCAGGATGACTCCAGGGCCTTAACCATTTCTTTTACTGTTGGAGATGTATTTGAAAAAAAAAATCAAAAAATAGATCTATAATATAAATCTTTTAACTTTTCTTGCAGCTGAATTGTCAGGAGAGTAGCTCTGACAATGGCATGTTCCTTGTCATTGCCGTCTCTTCCGAAGAGCACTGTTTTCAACAAAAATTAACTCTAAAAGGAGCATATGGGGCATGTAGTTATATTTTGTTTATGGATTACTTCTATCAAGGAAAAGGCAACTTTACAAAACAACCTGCTTTTTTCACCTGTATTGATGCAATCATTCTCTCTAGGAAACTGAAATGTTGACATTTCCCCTATGTTTTGCATTCTCCTCTATGTCACTTATGAAAAGGCTTTCAAATTGTACCCAGTGGTTTTAAGATACAATTTTTTTTAAGCTTTTGCCTGTGGCATGTGGCTGTTTCTAGGAGAAAAGAGCTTAATTGCGGCACAGTACTTACTATAATTTCAGAGAAGCCATCTTACAGCACAGTAACAGCTATAACGACACAGAGTACATTAATCTACACAATTCCTGCAGCTCGGCGGTGGCTACCTGAGAGCTCTCACCTGTGGCAAATGGTTACATTTACTCCTGCTGGGAATGTGGCTGGGCAGACGAATGTTAAAGAGGGCCTGCAGAGCAGCTTGCGCTGCTTGGCCTTTCGCCAGCTTCTTGCTACGTCCTGAGCCTTCGAATGTTCTCCCGTCCACACGCACGGCCATCACAAAGCTCTTGATGTGCTGCTTCTCCACGGTCTCTGACAGGCAGACATATCGCAGGCCCGACCGCAGCTCATTTAGCAGCACCACCGGGTTCTTCTCGCTCTCTGCTTTGGATACCATCTTGTGCTTGTTTTGCTTACTGTGGCCCATTAAGTCCAAAGTGTGGCAGAGTAGCCTCCCATGTCGATAAGCAGTGGAAAGCAACTCATTATTAACTGGCTTGTAGACTGAGAAGTCCTCGCTGTGTGTAGATGGTTCAAACTCCTTGAACAGAGTGTCTGGAAAATCTGCCTGATCAGAAGTGAAGTCCGTGGATGGATTAATACAGTTGCCCATGGCAAAGTGAGCTTGGCAAGCATTTGGGAACTGAACAAAAGACTTCAGAGCTAGCTCTGCTGCACGCATTTTGGCTTTCTTTTTTGTGGGTCCTGTTCCTTCAAATGTAAGTCCATTTACTTCTACTGCAACAGCAAAGACTGGAGCATGCACTGGACCTGTCTGGGAAACCATTTTATATTGTAAACCTGGTTTAAGTTCATGTAGCTGAACCAGAGCATTCTTTGGTGTCACTGACCATGAGACTTTCTTCCAGATGAGTTGGAGTTTACAGAAATGGCCACTGTTGCCTTCCTCTAAGGGTCTTTTTCTCTTACTGCTTGATGTTCCTCCTCTTGCTTTCTCACTAGAGGATATGGGATGATCCTCCAGGTTGCCAATGTTTCGATTTTCCTTCACTTCTGCACTGCTGGTACCTGTCAGTAAAAAAAGAAAAAGAACTCACAGTTGTCATCACAGTAGTTGACATCATGTTGACAAAAAGAAAAAAAAAAAGCTAATGATAGAAATTTTATAAAGGAAAATGATACTTTTGCCTGGCTTTCTTTAAGGGGGAAAGTATAATAGTTTTCTTCAAATGTGTATGCTTTCTATGATTTTTAATTTTTTTTTGTTAGAGTACAGATTCTCAACGTGTGCTGAATGATTATTTTCTCACCAAAGTTTTACTCTCATTAGTCACTATCCTCCTATTAGATTACATCACCCAAAGGGAAAGCAAATATGATGCCATACAACTGAAATGAACTACTGCATTCACAGTGCATAATTACTTGTAAAAAGTGAACAGCTTGCAAAGATTCCTTAGTCTGAAATTTGTTCCATAATCCATGTGGGCAAATACTTATGAACACATTATTAGAAATCAAAAATGATTCACCAGTGATTCACAAATAGAAAAATGGGCAAGTGTATTGAATAATTTATTTTCAATGAATAAATTGACCGACCAGCTCAACTCCCAACATAGGCTCTTTTTTTTGCTAACAAGATGAATCCAGCCTAAGAAATGATCACACAGATCTTCCTCACATTTGAAACTATGATTTGTTGTAGACTCACATCCCAGTTTAATATGTGAGAATTTTTCTGTCAAGTTCAATTGCAGATACTCTTAGCTCCTTCATCAGCAATAACTAATACCACAAACACTCTAGATAAATCTAAATCAGACTAGGAAAGCCAGAGCATCATGATGTGAGTAATTGCTGATGTAAAGGATGATCCGTGTCAAAGAAAAGCAATGGGAGAGAGTGACTGTCATGAAACACTGTCACGATGGGCAGAGGGAATGAAATGACAGCCGGGAGCTAGGGAGGGAGCACTCAGTAGTTGGCAAGCCAGTGAATCTCACGTTGCTCTCAACTACACTTGTGCAACATCTGTGCTGCAAGGCAGTACTCTTTGCTTCAGGGGATGTATGTCTGAGAATGGAGATTCATCTCGATGGTATCCTGAATGAGAAGGAAAACATGTTGCTCCCTCAGTAAGGATCTTCCAGCATTTCTATCATTTTTGATGCATTTTTTTAAATGCATTGCATCTCTGACTTATCCTTCACTCTTTCAGTGCCTTGCTTGGGGAGTTTAATCAGCCTGTGAAGCAGCCCCTTTCTGGTGCTATGCACCTGGATAATGGCTTATATTCTAGCACAGCTCATGATGCTTTCCCCATGTTTTGGTATTGTTAGATAGGAGCATACTAGCTGTGGTAACTGCATGAATCCCCAAACCAAAGAAGATCCCCATGGTCCTTAGAGGATAGAGAATGGATCTTCCATGACTTGCAGGGTTGTGACCGTGTTCTGCTTCCTCTCCACCCTGACATGCAATCCTGTTGAGAGGTGCAAGCACTTAGTTGCATGTTGAGCCTGGAGGAGTTTACGCTGGAACAGCATGACGGTGCCACAGCCCCAGGATGAAACTGTGACTTGCAGAAGCGCAGGAGCCTGCAAGAATTATGTTGAACCAACCATACTAGAAACCTGCCTTACATCCCACTGAAAAATGGGCAGGATGTGCTTGTAGGAAATGTCAAAAGACTTTTTTCCTAAAGGTGCAATTGAACTGCATACATGCTTGCTCTTCCAAAGGAAGCAGCTCACTGGTTGGACCTTATTAAAAAAAAAATGGCACTATTGCATGCATGGCAATCCCTTGGCAGGAATGAAACTTTAGGCTTTCTTTCCTAAAAACACTGGCACTCACTAAACCTTCAGCCTGCATCTGTGTTTCCTCAGTTACTTGCTTAACTCCATATATGTGCTGAAAAGCTTTGCTGATGCTGAAGGTGGACTGACAAATTAAGGTCTTAGCAGCTACTTAATTTTTACTTTCTAAAGCTAAGGAGAGAGAATGAAGACAGGTGAGAAAGGAAAGAAAAAGAAATACATAATAGAAAAAGAAAAGTTTCCCCATATGGCATTCAGCCATACAAAATGTGAAATCTTTAAAACAGCCTCCCTGGAAATAAGACACTTAAAAGGTCAAATTAAATAAGACACAAGGATAAAGTAGTCTTTTCTTGTTGAGTTCACAACTCTATTTATGGAAGCTTTGTACTGAAGGGAAAGGAGATGCCAGCTTTAACTTTGCTCTGCTTAACTTGGCAATGACTTTGGCCAGACATTTTCTGGCTGTGATTGTATCTCCTGTTTCCATCCCACTTAGAATACATCTCTTTGTTTGTGTGGTTTTTTTTTTTTTAATGTGAAATATTTTGACTCAAAATGCTTTTTTGAGTGAGGCAGCTTTGGTTCTGTATTTCATACCTCCTCTTTCATCCTATCTAATAGGTTTTTGCAGACCCAATTATGGTACATAATGATATTGAAGTCAAGAGGCATGACAAGAAAGATAGTTCTTGCTTCACACTATACTCAGGTTTGAAAAGAATTTGTATTGATTATGCACCACTGAATAGGAAAACTGTGGGGGTTATTTGTATTTATAATTTATATTGCCTTCTTCCAGCTATTTTTTCTTTCATAATCAGAGAAGCATGGATTTGTGACCTTAGCATCTTATCTTAATCACCCTCACTAACACAGCGATTAACTAAAAACATGGCAACATAACAATAAACTTTACTTATTTGTCCTGAAATTTTGTCTACAGAACTGTCTACTGTAGGTTTTGGGAAGAGGGAATTTGTACCCTCTAATGTACCTAAAGGTACCCTAATGTAACTAAAAAAATGCAAAGATGGCAGTACAAATTTTCAGGGGCCAGACACAAAGGAACCTTTGAAAAAAATGATCTACCTGAAGGTGATGTGTATATTTATGGTATGTTTTGGCATAGTTACACTAATGGAAGTCCTTGAAGATATCCTTACATCTAACCAGATTCCAAGAGGATCTGATTCTGAAACACTGATTAATAATTTGGTTCTTCACAGATCTCAACAAGAGCTGCAGGAGGCCAAAAGTCCTCTATGTCATGTAAATTAGAGCCAGCCTGAACTGAAAGAAAGCCTCAGAGAGCTTGCGAGCCTGATGGACTTGTGTGATATCTGCCAGGAGCGGGACAATGTGAAATTACTTTATACTTCCATGTACCTTTGAAATAGAAGATCTTTGAAATGTGTCTTTTATGAGACCTGTGTGTAGCAGACACAAGATTACCTCTCTAATGGTGGCACATGTACTTCTATTGTGAAAATCAGACAAAGCAGGCAAATGACACCAAACTACATAAGGTAAATACTGTAAGCAACCATAATAGAACAATCACAAGCAATTTTAGAAATGAAGAGCACTAAAAGGAAAGGGATAAGTCAGAGGATATACACAGGGAAAATGCAAAACTGGATCATTTTCAGTCCTGTTATCTCTTATAATGTCTTGGTCTTGAGTTTCCAAAACACATTCTCTACATTCGGAAGAAAAAAATATATAATCAAATATAGTTTTTCTTTGATGAAAGGTTGGAAGAGAATAAAATCATGAGGGGAGGGGTGAGGAAGAGAAATATTGCAACTTTTTGGCAATAATTTCTGCTTTACTGTGTAAGAAAAAAAATGGTTCTTCGTATTATCTCCTTATATAACTTTATTATCTGATTTTTTCAGTTTTACAAGCAAAGGGAGACAGTGCAATCTTCTATTTGCTTTAAAATTTGAATAGGAGAGAAGAAAACAGTTATTGAAATATATGTATTTGTGTATTTTCCCTTAGTCTTCTATCTCCTCTTTCATGTTTTTCTCCTTTGGTCATTATGCACAGTAGAGTTAACCTGGAGAGTCTGCATCATCAAGAGCTTTTCAGAACTATAATGCATCACTAATAATGACACTGCCTATGTCTCTGGGTCATAAGGGCTCTGAAGAACTAGCCATCCGATACTCCACGCTACATTTGAAGAGATAATATTGTTCCTGTTGAAGGTTATTCTGCTGCCAAGCCAACTACCAGGGAGGATGGGAAAGGAGAAGTAGGTGGCACCCTCATTCTGGCTGGTGTTTTTAATACTGAACTACAAGCAACAGTATGTTTTTGAAAAGTTATGATATTGAAAGAAATTTACAGTGTCTGTGGTATAGCAGACTTCTAATATAAACGAGTTCTATGAAACAGGAAGTAACTGTCTTTGGAAATAGTCAGTAAAAGTAAAATTCGTAGCAATGCATTTTGAACAGTACAGGTTGAACTGCCTTTATATTTTCCTGCATCCTGCATTTTAATATTTAACCCCTGTTGGACCTGCTTATGGAGAGTATGTTTTTGCTGTGCAGCTGTATCACATTGACTGCAAAGGCTAAAAGGGTTGACCTCCATAATACCTGTTATAATTTGAAAGGGGGAAAAAAAATCACTCAGAAGCAATAGGCATGAACTTGGGAGTCAGGGCAATGGTACAGCTCCTGCACTAATAGCAATGTAGGGTAGGCTTCTTTGGGAGGCAAAACAACATTTGTATACAATTATGGAATCTCTAACAAAGATTTAGGAATTCTTCTCCTAGGGATTTTTAAGACCATGTTATTAACTTCATAATAGTAAATTGTAGCAAAGAGTAGAAATCACACTTTCCTTTCTAACATGCAGGCATACAAATATATATTTTAAATTTCCATGAAAGCAGTAAATATGGTGAGTCTACGTAAGGAAAACCTGTCATAATAGCATTGTTGCAGATGAAATCCTTCCTGGTAACTCATAGGCCTCCACCTAGGTCCTTGTGCCTGCTCACAGGCCTCCACCTAGGCCCTTGTGCCTGCTCACAGGCCTCCACCAAGGCCCCCGTGCCTGCTCAGTGGCACCATATCTGCACATCTGGCACAGTAGCATGGCATGACTAGACCCCAGGCAACATGTGCTGCTGTGAGGGGTGCATGGCAGTTTTGCAAGGATCAGTGTTTGACTATGGCTATTTGGCTATTTGACTTTGATGTGGCATGGGCTGATTTAAGGTTAAGGCATAGGCTGAGGTACCTAACATTGTAAAGGGCAAGCAGGCAGTGAATGAGGAAGGATTATACACTGTTTCATACAGTTCAAGCACTACAGGCCGCAGGCTTGGAATAAAAAAGGATTGTTAATCACTGAACTCCCTGTTCCTGGATGCTGTTGAGATCACAAGTAGCAGGGGGCTCCAGAGCAGACTCGACAGGTCTATCAGTGTCTAGGTAACAGGATGATTCAGGTGCACACTCAAGCTAAGTATATTTCTTGCTGGGTGCTAGAAAGATAAACCAAAGGCAGGATCACTATTTAAATGGCCCTTGTCTCGATGTATCACTAGCAGTGGCTGTTGAAGATAGTGTGCAGAGCTAAACACTCTATTTCTAATCCAATATCACAGATCTTTAATTCTTAGGTGTGACTGTCTTTGGGGAATGCTGAAACAAGGTTGTTGCTTTCTTTCCTGTTTATAGTAAGGTCTTCTTTGGAGGGTGGTTATTAGTTTACTAAGGCAGGCTATTTTGGAGGGGACTAGTGGTTAGCATTATTTTGTGGATCATAAGCCTATAAGGTATCTATAGTCTAAAAAGCACCAGTTGAAAATGCTCTTGTAATTTAACTGGCATGGGCCCCTTTGTGAAGAGGGCCTAAAGGAACATGAAACATGGGATTTGAACCTCTTTCAGCTAATAGGACTCTCTGCTTTCATGTAGCACAGTCCAGGATGTAGCAGTCTCATAGGACTCATACAAGATAGTTGAGTTAGTGAAAACCTACAGGGATATCTGAAGCACTATGCTACCTTGAACAGTTCTTCCAGCCATTAACTGGATAGTTAACACAGTACAAGACACAGCGTTTTCAGATCAAATCCCCAAAGCTCTTTAAAATATGTAATATCTACAGTGATATCTACCTGCTATGGAAGTCAGTGGGAACTCTGTCACTATACCAGAACTGAGCAGAGCTGAACACTGAAATATGTCTGAACTTAATTGAACTTAATTCAGTTATTTTTATATATATTCTAATAGACAACATTTAAAAAGTATATGTTGCATGTGCCTGTAAATAGATTGATGCCAGGAGTATGTTTGAACTCGGAGAGAAGTAGGCAGGATATCCCTATACTCAGTGAAATTCACTGTTTTTCTTTCATTAAATGTAGGTTATCCTATCCATGTGAGTTATTTTAAAGCTAGCACAGGCACGAAGCAGTCTTGGCATTACTGCTGCAGTAAGAAAATGGTGTTTGGCTTGTACAAACTTCCTACATTACCTAAAAATAACTGAGTAGTAATTTGGGAAACATTACGCAGGAGGTGCCTGCACCAGCTCATCATGGGCTTAATGTGTTTTTTGTGTGTACTTCTCATATCTCTTCCTGAAAAAGTAGCCTCCCTGGGATCAATTCTGAAGGATTTTCAAGACTTTTTTGCCTTTGCTAAGATATCTAAAAGGTTGTCCCTGTGCTGCAGGTATGGTGTGATGTCTGTATGATACTCAGCAGTATAAAATGAAGGCTGTGCTCCTTCAACAGTTATTCCCTTGGTGCCACAACATGTTTGATAAAGGCAGATTAGCAACAACAGGGAAAAAAACCCATTCCTCCCACCCACTGCTTCTAATAGGGCAACACGTCATTGTGTTTCTGGCTGGAAAAGAAACCCATCTGGTAGGCGATACTAAAGCTGGAAGAGATCTTCATTTACTTCAGAATGCCTTCCTCCCTTTTTTTAATGACTCAAGATATGTTACAATAAGCAGGGCTGGATAACACACAATAGTTGCTTCTAGGTAATAAATGGACAAGCTTAGTAAGGGTTATTTAGTCCTAACTGTGCATGTTTTTCCTGGATTTATTGTTGTTCTAAAGATTTCACTTCTGTTTCAAACTCAGCAGTGCTTTCCTGTAGCTGTGAGGCCACAGGTGCGGCAAGTGTTGGTGTCTGCAGCCTGGCGGAAGGGCCCCAGAGAATCCTCTGGCTAATTTTTGTGCTACATTTAGTTCATTTAAGCCTAGTTAATCATCTCTTTTCAATTGGACTTGCTTTCGAACTATTTTATGCTCCAAGTTGTGTCAAGCAGGAGTGGGACTAACAGTTTTTTAAAAAGAGGACCTGGTACTTCAGTGTTTACTTTGGCAAAAGTCCTTTTGTAATCAAGAGACTGTGAACCGGGGAGGAATGCAAAGCAAACAGAAAGGTTCTGTCTTTTAGGGGCTGTGAGAAAAGCAAGCAAGCAAAACAAGGTAAGGCAAGCAGGGAAGAAAAGGAGCTACACAGTCCTGAAACACCTAAACACCTCCCTTTGGTAAAATATTTTACTTTACATTTGTGATGTACAATTTATTGCCACTCTTACCAGTGACTGTGAGGGGTCAGTGATTGTGCAGGGAAAAGGGGGAAGTTGAACTGAAATTAACCCCTCTTTCACTGGACATAAGAGAATATGCTTTCATTCAGCATCAGATAATTCTGCATTTTACTGAAGGATTGTGCTATGGCCTGCCAATATCTGCAAATGTACTTAGTGCCCATCACAACTCCTATACTTCAGTGCTTTTAGGTAGCTTTATTGTCTGTCTATAAAGAAAAGAGTCTGCTTACTTAAATTGTCTTCATCTTCCATACTGGTTGCGCCAGGACTCAAATACTTGAAGGGTGCTATAAAGGTTGACAGTATGCTTACTTTTTCTAGAAGAAAACAGAAGAAAAGAGACACATAAAAATCAGTATGTTGTCAATGCCTTCAGACCTCTTCCATGCCTTTCCTCAAGTGAGAAACATTTTGGCACGACCATTCCTTTTTTTTTTTTCCCTTGATTCTACATTTCCATCAAAATTCATACAACCATGACATATCCATCACAGCTTTCATGTGTGAATGCCCAAATCCACATTGCCTCTGGTCTCTGTTATTCTGACCCAGATCAGCCTCTGCAGTGCCCTCTTAGGGTATTAAGGTACTAAGCAGTGCTTTTCCTATGAAATACTCTATAGAAAAGGGGGCTCAAAGGAGGCCAGATGTGCAGCTAGAAAAGATGGGAGAAGGTTGGGTGCCAGCTGTGAGAGGAGAAACATAGTGATGATGTACCAGATGAGACCAGAACTTCACCTACTCTTGTTTCCTCTCCCTAACAGAGGCTGTACCAAAAGTCTCAGAGAAAGGACAAGGTTTAATGCTACAAGAGAGTACAACAGCTTCTAATTCTTCTAGAAATCACTGATTTGCTCTTTTGGAAACTTTTCTGGTGTGACACATGATATTACTATCCAAACAATAGGAATCCTATTTGGGCTCCTTCTTGTTCACATTCATATTAAGTGCAGATCATTCTACTTGCAGCTTCTGTTTGTCCTGGAGATAACAGGTGGCACGGAAATTTACTTCCAGTGTAAGGATCAGCCTCTGCACTAGATGCCAGGATGGATTCAACAAAATGAGAACTGATACTGATTTATATTCACTCAGAAATTGGTCCAGAATTTACCTCGGGAAAAGCTGCTATTAACGCAAATACAAAAGCCAGGGCCATGTTGAAGAAGTGTGTTTTATTTAGCTTGTTCCTTGTAACTCATTCATTACATTTTCTATGCTGAATTCCTTCTCACAAACTACCTACATTGGTGGAGTGTCTGTTTCGGATAGCAGAGGAAAAGTAAGCACCTTAAAAGATGCCTCACAGGTCTGAAGGGCTAAGTTGCTTCCGTTAAGTCACCTCTCTTCTTAGAAAGCATCTGTTAGGTGGAAGGACTCAGCATACTGTGAACAATATTGTGCTTTCATCCTGTATCAAAGGTATTGTGCATCAAAGAGAAATAATAAGTGTCCTCTTTCAAGTGACATAGGAAAGACAATTAGCAGGGGAATGTTCTTTAATTGTATTTCACTGGCATTTCTCTAGATTTACTTAAACTACCTGCCTAATAATGTCCCGTATGATTCCTCCATAGCCACTGTCCTGGAGGGCATTCTGGCAGAAGAGCCTGTGAAGCTCACTGTGTCGCCAGGACATCTGTTAGCTTTTCAACGCTACTCTACATAGGTTCGCAGACAATCCTTTCTCTTGTTAAAGTGTGTTATCAGAATCCATCAAAAAGTGATTCCAGATGTTTGCCCTTAGCAAGACAGCATTAAAACTCAACTCTATATAGACAGCACAGTAAAAACTGACTGTTCTTTGTTAAGTAAATACAGTAAGAGGAATAAAGGATCGCCTGAAGGAAACCTTTTTTTGTCCAGAAACCTTTCAGCCTAGACTAATGTATAATTAGAGCACAAATTAGCCTCCTTGAATTGCAGTTTCATTAAGGAATTGTAGTCATGTCAAGAATGAAAAAATTAAGCTATTTATGAACGCTTTAACTGGAAGATTTTCCTAAATGAGTATTCCGATGCTTTTTGCTAAGGTGTTGTTCTCTGAGAAATCTGCTATCTTTGTTAAGACATTGACTTGGGGTAGGTGGGACTGTGAGACGGGATGAGGGTAAATGCTCACCAGACTTTCTAGACCAGCCTCTTAAATTAAAGTGAAAAGAATATAGGCTTTGGAAACTTAATCTAAAGGCTACATTTGGAAAGGTGAAGCTTTAAATACGTTTAAGATGAGGGCAGTCCTTAAATTTAAAACCAGCAATAACTGTTTTGCTTAGATACGGAGAGATGGTGCATCCAATTTTACTCCATCTGTGCCTGACTGCTGATGGCTGTCAGATACTCAGGGCTCACCCTCTGACACGGAGAGTCGCAGGCAAGTTTCGAACTGCCTCAATGAGAAAATCTTCCCTCTCTTGTAGAGATTTATTCCATTAAAAAGAAATGTAAACATACACTTTCTTGCCGAGCATGCTAGTAATTGCCCTACCATTAACCAAAAAGTGAAGTCATATGGTTTTATACTATATTATTATTAGATAAAATAATATTTTATCTAATCATAAAAATATTTTATGATTTATCTTCCACACAGTTTGTTTATGCTATAGGTTAGATTTGTAATGTGACTTTAAACCTTATCAAATTGCTTTCGTTTTTGCCTAGGGAACCTTTTAGCCATCTTCACATTTTGCTATTACTGTTTCCCACCTGTTTCCAAAGAAACTTGTTTTTGCCTTTGCTTTGTGTGGAAGAAAACTACTTGCAAAATTTAACACACAGTTAGAGCAGGAATGGATGGCCTCATCTCACCCAGACACAGACAACCTCTAATAACAGGAGATCCTTCAATCAATACAGATGATAAGAATTATAATTTAGTATATCATTGGTTGAGCAATGGAAGATTTACTGTATGTCTGCAAAGAGGAGGAGGGCAGGTTTTCACATGAGTGATGTAAGAGAGCTGTAGTATGCACATAGCACAGATGAATTATTGAACCTATGGAGGAGGGGAAGATGGATGACAGGATAATTAAGTGTAGGTGTTTACAGGGAAATAATCTGGCTAGATGTATAACTGAAGGTATGATTTCACACCTTCATCTTCTGCAGCTTATTGTTCATTACCTTATATAAGCTGCCTCATCTCTATGGTTAATGGTGAAATTTGGTGTTATTTTTCTTTATGTTTTCTCAACAATATTAAGAGAATTGTATATTCACTTTATAATCCCCATATATTTTAATGTTCATCACAGTTATTCTTATCTTTGGCAGTTTGACTAAATCTCATGAATAAGAACCTGTCTAGAGATAAAAAAAAAAAAGGAGTTTCCCAGAGAAATACCTTTAAAGATTCTATTCTTTTTGCCTTTCTTTTCTACCTACGATTTTTTTTTTTTTCAAAAAGAAACATCAACAAGAAGCCCCAAATTAAGGCTGCTATTTTTACATTATAATTGTAAATGTCTTCTGCATTTGTTTGAGATAATAATTTTTCTAGACTAGGAAAGAGGGTCTAAGAGAGGAAAACATGACATTTGAAAAACTCTTTTTCTCCAAGAGACAGAATATATAACCCTACATTTATCAGAACAAGGAGCTATTATTGAATGCATTATAATTGTACCAAAAGCCTCAGATGACATGAAGGCCTTTTATAAGGGCCTACATGGGCATAAAGAAAGCAATATTTACAATGAAAATGAGACACAAAGAGCTGGTAGTAGTGAGGTTTATCTCTAGCCATACTTGTATGCTAACACAGGACAATCATGTCATCCTTTGTACCATTACTGTAAAATATTCTCCTAAGTGTCACTATATGGACCTCTAGTCGAATACATTACACATCACCATACCCCCATTATAGAGAGAAAATTCACTTTTTTTCAGTTTTGGGATGGAAACAGATTTTAATTAAAACAGCTTAAATATATATTTTCCAACACTAGCAAATAATTAGGAAAAAATGCCACCATTTGAGAAATATAAATATAAATATAGAAATCATATAAACAAAAATCAAAATCAAAGATAAACTCTCCTTGAAAAACATAAAATGATTTCATTCAAGTGATTTGGCAAAACTCAACATATTAGGCAAGCAAGATTCCTTTAGACTGTTCTTTTTGTGAACAGCTCTTGCTCTGTGGATGCTGTTAGAAAGACTGGTCATAGGTCCTGTAAATATGCTTTTATTCTTGAGACAAGAATACATATATACAGCTATAAACTGCATTCATGACCTTCAAACCTAAAAGTATTTAAAGGACATCAAACAATACAGCCTGATCATCTGAAGTTCTTTCATTCTCAGTCACTAGAGTAAAAGCAAAGGGAATTCAACACTTTTAGAAATCAGGCCTTATACACCCCAGACAATTTATTTAGCTTTAAGAAGAGCAGACTGAGTGGGGTCATAACAACAGTCTTCACATACAAAAAAAAAAAAAAAAAAAAAAAAAAGCTGCTGCATAGAAGAAAGCAATAAACTGTTTTCCATGTCCATTAGCACATCTAGAAGTAATGGACTTAAATTGCACCAAGGAAACATCGCTTTAGACATTAAAAAACCTCTTTCTAACAGTAGGGATAGTGCAGCATTCAAACAGGTTGCCTAGTGGGAAGCTCGGAGAGCCATCACTGCTAAAGGGCTTTCGGCAGAGAACTGGCATCTGTTGAGCATGGTACCTGGCCAGGAGTGATCCCCTAAGGTCTCTCCTGGATCTCTGATGCCTAGTAGCAATATTTGTCCTGATTTTGAGATCATACAGCAAGTTCTACCTTGAACTTAGAAAGGTAAGTAGTATTTGAGGACTGATATCTGAGCAGAATCTTGTGGCATACTCTTTTGCTTGGCAGCTAATGAGCACTATTAATAGTTGTGTTAATAAATTAAACTTCTGAACAAAATAAGAATCAGACAGATGGATACCAGTAGTTTGCCAGATCAGCATTAGCAATATTTTACTGAATTAGTTTAATTCTCATATTCTAATTGAGAACTACTAAACTACTTGTCCAATGTTTCTCAAACAGCATTCTTTTAAAAGCACAATGTTATCATTATAAAGCAGTACTAAATAATTCGTTTGGTTGGCATGGAGTATGAAACAACTCTGGATAGGTCAACTCTGATGTAATATTGTCAACTCAGCTACAAAACCTCTTGAAAAAATGAGTTTAATTCTTTCAAGCAGCATTTGCAGCTCTTCAGATATTTACATTCTTACAGTTGTGTTAGCCTTGATTTATTTTGAAAAAGGGGGATACAGGCAGGGAAGAGAGCTGCACATCAGGAGATGACTC